TTGGAAAATCCGGAATCTACACCATTGAACTCGCTGTCGGTATGGCAACCTGGAGAGGTTGGGAATGACATGATGAACTCCACCGATCACTCAATGGAGCCAAGGGTCGGGGGAGATGGAGAAGAAGAGGTGGTCGGCGTGGAGTTGGAGGTCTCCGGGCCGCTGAGGAACTACCTGGAGGAGTTGGAGTGGGACTTCAGTGGTGGGGGTCTGGAGTTTGTGGACGATGAGGAGGATGTCGAGGAGGTGGTCGATGAGATGGAGCCTACAGTCAGGAAACCACCGATCCAAGTAACAAAGCCCGCCGCACTGACCCCCCTAAGGAAGCGGGAAGTTCCGGAGTCGGAAGGAGAGCAGTCGGGGTGGAGAGCTTGGGAATGCCTTGGGGAGCTGGCGATGGTGTGTTGTGGAGATTGTGGACTCCTTCAACCCCGGCACCCCCACCAAGTCCCGACTGAGGATCCAAGGGACATTCGCGGCTGCGGGGTGGTGATGAGCTCCATGCAAGCGGCGGTGGAAGGGACGCTGGACTTGGTGGAGGCGACGCAGATTTCCTGTGGGTTCTGTGGTGGCAACTTGGAGTATGTGGACGACTACCGAGAACGTCGGACTGGAGGTCTATGGAAGGGCTCGAGTTGTTCTTGGGATCAAGCTGAGGAGTGGCACGCCATGGAGGTGAGGTCGCACTTGCTGATGAAGAGGTTATGGAGTGAGGAGTTGCGCCATCAGCCCATTGGAGAAGAGCAGGGCAGACAGAGAGGGCGATGGATGGCTGCATTGGAAGCTGGACTGTTGGTACAAGAGGATCATTTGGAGGACCAACATCGTAAGCTGGAGGCGGTGAGGTTGGCTGCGGTGAAGAATGAAGCAGGTTTGGAGTTACAGGATCCGGGAGCTCCTCCACCGGCGGTGTTGCAAACCTATGCCGTTCCCCTTCAACGAGTCCGACAGGAGCTTGCAGCGTGGGTGCCTCCGATGACTGATGAGTACCAGTCCTTGATTGAAGGTACTAGGGCATTGAGCCCGACGACCATGGAAGAGTTGGAGCAAGATCCATTGTATGAGGTGATGGAGGTGGCGCCGGGGATGTTGGTTCCGACCATCAAGGCACCACATGGGAAGAAGCGGGCTCGCATTGTCGTCTGCGGTAATCGGCTGGAAGCTCTGGATGGCAGTGGTGCAGCAACCTCGGGAAAGGAGGAGGCCCAGAACCTGTATGCCGGCGGAGCTGACGGAACAACCATCCGATGTCTTCTACGAAAGGCGGCAGCTATGAACTGGGAGATCACCACTTGCGATGTCAAGACGGCTTTCCTTCTGGCCCCCAGGGAAGACTCCAGTCGAAGATTGGTAGTGGTGAAACCGCCACGCATTTTGGTGGAGGCGGGCATTGTGGGACCTCAGGAACTATGGCGGGTTCAACACGCCCTCTATGGACTTCGATCCTCGCCGGCGGACTGGGCTACCTATCGAAATCGGCTGATGAGGTCCTTTCAATGGCAACATGAAGGGAGGACATTGGAGCTTCGGGAGACGCCAGAACCCAACCTTTGGAAGATTGTGGAGAGACGACCGTTGGATCAGGAGGAACCGCCTCCGAAGGGATTCATTGGGGTCTATGTGGATGACTTCATGGTGGTTGGGGCCAAAGACATCGTGAAGGGAGCATTGAGCAGGATTGAGATGGAGTGGAAGTGCAGCCCGGCGGAGTGGGTCAATAGCGAGAGATGGACGAAGTTCAGTGGATTTGAACTGAGATGGAGCTCAGCGGAGGAGGACAGCGGGCTCTATGTGGGGCAGCAAGCATACATTCAGGAGCTTCTGAGCAGACATTCTTGGGTGACCCCGGCTACGGTACCTTTTCCAGGAGTGCCCAATGAGGAGCCGGAAGCGGAAGTCACCTTGGAAGATGTGAGAAAGGCGCAGGGAGTGGTAGGTGAACTACTGTGGGTGTCAGTGAGAAGCCGACCTGATCTGGCCTATGGAGTGGCTTGGATGGGACGACAGGTGACCCGAGCTCCAAAGCGGGTCTTGGAGTATGGATGTCAGATGTTGGGATATTTGAAAACCACCTTGGCATGGTCGCTTCACTATGGACGAGCCCGGTCCTCAATCCCTGGAGAACACTACAATCCTACTATGAGGGTGGACGTCCTTTCGGATGCATCGTTTGGACCTCCTTCTGGGAGAGGGTGTCAGGGCGTGATTGGAACCTACGGGGGCGAGCCGGTCCAATGGGAATCCAGGCAGCAAGCGTTTTGCACGCTGTCGAGCGCGGAGGCTGAACTGCTGGGTTACACAGAAGCGATGACCATGGGGGATTCCTTGGCGGCCTTGACCAATGTTCTGGAAGGAACAGGAGATGGAATAGGAATAGAGTGCCGTTTGGGGGGAGACAACCAAGCTGGTCTTCGAATCCTTGAAGCGCCGGATGGACCTTGGAGGACACGTCACCTTCGTCTTCGAGCCCATGCACTGCGGGAGAGGGTGAAGTGGGGCGCTTGGAAGGTGATCCATATCCCAGGTCAGCATTTGGTGGCTGACTTCCTGACGAAGCCGATCGGAGTGGCTGCGAGATGGCAGCACTTCTTCGCGGCCATGGGAATGAAACCAGTGGTGGAAGCTGTGTCTGAGAGCCTAGGGTCCAAAGTGGCCAGGATTGCAGCTCTGGTAGGTGGGTTGGCGGGCGTGATGGCCTGGCGGCCGTCAGGTTCCACGGGCAAGGCTGCTCAGAGCCTAGCCGTAGCTGCGATGGTAGCTAGTTTGGCCACCAGCTGGAGAGCCGGCTGTGATTCTAAGAAGAGAGCCACTGGGCCGATAAGAGATGAATATGCAGATCCACCATATGGACTTCAAGATCAGGTGAGGGAAGATGAACCCACCTGCAGTAGAGAGGATGGGTCAGAAGAGGAACCCATTAGTGAACCTAGCCCTGAGGGCTCCCGGGATTACGCGGTAGAGGTGAGCCATGGCGGCAACTCGAAGAGGGCACGATTGGCTGCTCTGAGGGAGGGATCGTCGACAGGGCTCGGAGGGACATCGTCGACGACTACTGGAAAGGTTCCAGTTGTGGACTACGATCGACCCTGGATGTGGAGGAGGTTCACTATGCCTTCGAGGGGTCAAGATCGATGGGACCGACTTCCAGGGGGATGGTGGGTCAGACATCATGTGAAGCAGAGGATGAGACCATTCCATCCAATTCATCGACACACACCTATGGACTGTAGCCACATTCAAGATCGGAGAATCACCGTGTTGTGGTGCCATGGGGAAAAGGTGATCAGAGATGATGAATGGAGGAGAGATACGGAACCACCAATGAGGGACCCCTGGGTAGGATATACCTTCTTCAGGGATCTTCATCCAGACCCAACGGCGGGGACTTTGACTTCGACCTCCAGTTCATCAACTACCAGAGGACAGGGCGATAGGACGTCTTCCTCGATGAGCGGTTCACTGACCTCCGGACCACCGCCAATGCCGGGCATTGCGGAACATGGTTCAGAGATGGAAGGAGTGCCTCGAGATGTCCGACCAGATCGTCAAGGACAGGACCCGAACCCGGTGGAATCTGGTTCGGAACTCAGCACAAGGGTGAATGAGGGAGCAAGTAGCAGTGGCATTGGAGGCTATGGGCAGCGGCTTCATGGCCATCAACAGCGAGGAGAAGTTGAAGGATCGAGGACGTCTGGAGATTCTTTCCTTGGTGAGTGAAGAGATGGATCGAGGGTAGGATTATGACCCTGCCTATTGGGCACAAGGACCTGGAGGACATGATGGAACCACACTGGAGGATGATGTACGGGATGATTGGCTGGCGTTCATGCGGGACTTGACCGTTGATGCGGGATCCCCTGTGGAGAACCGGCCGGTGGAGAGTGAGTCGAGCAGTGCAGAAAGAGCTGACTGGAGGAGAACTCTGGCCAGTGAGGATGAAGAACCGCCAACCCTGGACGAGATGACCGCTCAGGGGTGGAGGGTGGTGCGAAGCAACTTGGCACCCCCGAATCGAGAAATCTACAGAGGACCGGATCCTGTACTACCACCAGCTGAGGACCAAGATCGGGAGACGCCAACTTGGATGGGGGTGTCTACGCAGATGCCAGTGAGGCCCAGGTCAAATGACCCTTGGGAGCCGCGTCGCGGTTTTTCTGGAACCTCAAGGGTTCGTGACGACTCAAGCGAGTCAGATGATTAGCCCTGATGGCTTGAACCAAGCCAGGGGGAGTGTGATTCATGAAGTGCACAAATCAAAAAGTGTACAACCACACCTCGTAGAAAGCCAAGCGCTACGAGTGTTTTCGTCTTACTTTGGCTCAAGTTTGAAAAGGCCCGACGCGCTGGGCATCCCGTTTCATAACCACACAATCGATTCCATCCCCATCCACAAATGCTCATGGGCAGCGGAAGCCATCAGGTCTCCGTGTGGAATCTCTCAGGCTCGCCAAAGAACACACTTGCAAGGTCACAAAAGGGCACACATGAGTTGCTTTATAGATTGGCATGCGCTGGTGGCAATAGGACAAGACCCCTGAAAGCTTCATATACCATCAGCCCAAGCTGTCAAGGAGTAGGCAGTTCTAAAAAGAAAACATGAGACTACAATAGACTACAGGTGGCAAACTGGTTTCAAAGACCTCAGAACATTGCACGTCATCACATCCCGATCGCCTTCTTTGTCTGAAATCCACAAGATTTTGTGAGGTATTGAGAAAAGTGAGGGAACTCATCTCTCAGAAAATCCACAAGTTTGCCAAGTTTGCCTTGTGCTTGAAGTGTGTTCTGCAACCTGTTCCCTTACCAAAAAGCGCGATCTATTCACATTCCAAAGTATTGCTCAAAGTTTCACTCACCCGACACTCCACATGGTGTCAGTGCCAGATAGGATCCACGCTCTCTTCATGTGACGAATACCACCAAAAAACCACCAGGTGGGAAGCCTCACTCGACCCCCCCCCGTGGCGAGTCAGCGACCGACCTCGACATCGCTGGCGCACCTGCAAAGCCAAGAACAAGACCAGCGTGGAGCCCAGCACCGCCACAGCCTCGTGGGGGGTCTTCGACCCGCATTGGGTGGGGGTTAGGACGTCTTCTTTTTGTTGAAAACTCTCGAGGGAAGACCAGCATGAGACGGTCCAATGGGTGTGTTGTTTAACCATTATTTAAAAGTAATACACTAGCATGGACCCCAAACAGCTTGGGTCGGAAAGAATGGTTGTGGGAATCGGAGCAGCCCGGATCGATCGTGGATGAACAAACATCAGGGAGACGTCCAACCTGGCTTAGTCAAAATATGTCTTGAACTGAACCCAGGGGGATCGTTGCCTGGGAGGTCTGGATGCACGAGTTCGGACGCACAGCATCACATCAAAAACTTGCCGCCTCGCGATGACACATCGAACTCTTCTTTCACCCGACACCTCTCATCCAACATCTCCATCCACCACACCCCCGCGCGCTCCGCACCACGCACCGCACCCCGCACCTGTGCGCTGACGCCCAGCGTCACCACCCAGCGGCGGTCCGTCTGGTCCGCCCAGGCGCCCAGAGGCGGCGCCAGCAGCGCCGAGCCGAGCATCGTCACGAGGCCCCAGACCGCTGGGCCTCGAGCGAGGCGCGACGTCCGGTTGTGGAGAAGTCTGTGTTGATTCGAAGAAAAGCGCCCTCACTCTCCAAGTTTATTGCTATATTAAAAATATATATATATATTGTTCGTATTTGCACGGGTCATTCCATAACAGGGTTCAAGGTCATTGACACTGCGACTCACTCATGTAACACTTGCAAGAGTCTTTTGAAGATGGGCACCTGTGGAAATGGCATCCCTCCATTGTCCATAGAACGTGAGCTTGCTGCGGCCAACGATGAACTATTGAAAGGAGTGAACCGCCAGCCATTTGCATGGCTCTCAAGGGAAATCCAAGTGTACTTGACACATAGCATGCATCACAAAAACCTGCAACAGCAAAAACATCTGAGACTGCCCGAAAAGCATAGCTACAAGGTTGGAGGCCATCCCTAGTAGGTTGGAGGCCATCGCTAGTAGGTCGGAGGCCATCGCTATTAGGCTGGAGGCCATCGCATCCAAACTCCCAAACAACTCATCTTTCTCCATCACATCACCCGAAGTCTTCCAAGCTCTATCACCCGCCCCAGAAAGCCTATGAGCCGACCGGGCGTGAAGCGCACCAAGACCAACGGCGCAATGAAGAGCCAGCCCTGGGTTGCCAGCCTGTGCTGGGAGAGCAGACTTTGGAGCACGACTCAACAGCTAGGAAATCAATAATTGACTCACAAACACGTTTCAGCTAAAGGAAGTCCTTGCAATTTTCTGAAGTAGGACACCTAACGGACACCTTGTGAAAACGGACTTCCTGTTTTTGTCGGATCCCGGATCAAAAAGTAAATACATGTTTGCATCACCTCTGCATGTGGATCACCCAACTACACCTATCAATGAATGGCAACAGCCAACACAAACACAGTTTGACAATGTCTGCTTTGGTTCTCACCCACTACTATAGGTGTATAAGAAACTGATTCACACTTGGCCTTTGATACCCTTCGCCCAAGGCCTTGTAATGCCATGACTCAGCAGCAAGTTCCGATAGACCACGTTGTCTGGCAGCTCATTGGACAAGAGCGGCTCCGCCATGATTGGAAAGAATGGCCCAACCAAAGTGGTTTACGATGGTTCTTGCAATTGAGATGCCTGGTGACACGGGATCCCGAGATAGGGAACAGCCCAAACAAAAAACACAAAGTTCGTCAAGTTCTAGACTTTTGGGGTACTTGGGAGCTGGAGAACAGAAGAACTTCAATCGCTGATGAATATGGTTCGAGTCGAAATACAGCACCTTGAGCCAAAAAGCTTCCCAAAATCTCTTGACGCGCGGCGGATCGGTGAACGAGTACCTCCTTGCGTACGCAAGATCACCGTACGCAGGTGGATACGCAGTGTCAGGGCAATCACCACCTGGCAAGTTACAGCTATCTGATCGTTGCAGGGGCGGTACATTGACGAATTTGCAGCGTAAATACCCGTGGTTGAGCATCCGTTTGCATATTAGAATCAACAAAGAACCCTCGGCACTCACAACTGCCACCAAACAGAGCAACACCTGCATCACCTTCCAC